CTCAAACTTTGGTACATTGATTCTAAGATAGATGCCTGGTAACCCAGCCTAGAACCACCAAAACATCTCTAGACATACGTGTGATTCCTGTTGAAGCAAGATAAGCTAAAGCCATTTTTCCACTCACTATCATCCACGAAAGTATGTCATATATTTAAACAAAATGACTGTGAGTGTGTATCTCAATCCCTCACCAAATGACAAACCAATTTTTATGGTGCCTGTCATACACCCGCTTCAGTGTGATTCCGAATCATCAGCAAAATTTCATTTCTTCGTCTTTACTTTTTGGTGAAAAGCTTTCCACAATGAGTTTGGATGTCTACACTTTTTATTTGGATGCCTCTCTCTCTCTCGTACAACAAACATGAGAATTGTCCTATGTCAGCTGATTTTTACTACGTTCGTACATTTAATGTGTGTTTACACATTCTTTTTTTTTCATCATCATCATCTCGACAAGTTTCGTGATAAGGCAAGAAAAAAATGGCAAAACAGTGCCATTAAGGACGCCAAAAAAATTGAAGATGAAGTAAAGGGAGAGGAAAAAGTTTCAGCTACAGACACATGCTTATTATTTATCATCTTTTAGATCGTTAGTTTCAACAACACACCAGAAAGGAGAGAAGGAATAAAAAATATACATGACACATAAGATGTGCTGTAACTGAGACGTAAGGGGAAAAAAATTCATAACAAGCTCAATAAAGTTTTCTTCTTTTTTCGTTTGCTTTTATTTATGAACCGTCCTTTGGCTCCATTAACTTCAATAGATGTAATTGGAATTGACTTGAAGGAAAAATGGGCATAAAGTTTTGTATTTTATCGGATGAGATGATTTTGAAGAGTGAGTGGAGTGCCAAAATATGTTGTTGGATGAGTTGAGTTTGAAGGTGAATTTGGAATTGGAGCGCTCTGAGAACTGCCAACTGCTTACATTTTTAGAAATCTTACCATTAGGGACCGGATCTAATGAAAACTTCGTGAATTTGTCCTAATCACAGTCTAAGGTACACTGAGAGACCTATAAAACGATTTCTGTGACTGCTCGGGATATCCTAACCCAGTCAAAGTCTAGAGTACCCTAATAAGCCCTTGAAACCAACCCCAGACCATTCCGTAGCCAAAACAACAAATTAATCCCATAACAAATAATATCCAAAATGATGATTAAGCCACTTTTATCGTCCCACAAAATATAAGAAGCTAAAAAGTTCGGAATGGAGAAGATCGACATTCGATATATGTTGTATTAGCATAATGTATGTTAATGCTTTTTTATATTGCAAGAGTTTTACTCTCAAAATGTATAAACAAGCAAGAAAAAATGTTTCTATAACCATTATGATGATGGGGGTGGATAGAATGTATGATTATGCTTTTACTGTTACTTATACATTTTTCTTATACATGGTCACATATGCTCTGGCAATTAAGAAATTCAAGGATCATATTTTCTCGCCATGTTCTTATAGATTCTCGATATATGCCTCATTGTAGATGTATTTTGTATATTACAGCACCGAGTTATGCTTCAATCATTTTATTTTAGCATATTACATGAAACAGTGATTAATGAGCATGGAAAAGAGTTTTTTTACAGCAATTTTTTGACGAAATAATCCGAAAAAGTTTGTTAACTTAATGAACATGTAATGAGCTACAAGAAATTCCTAATTACCGGTTACAAGAATTTTTGAGTTGCTTTTTAAAAATAAGTTATTTCAAGCCATGAAAATTTTATGACTCATTGAAGAATTATGATGCTTGAAAGAGTTAATTTTTGTGAAATAAAATTTTCGCAATTAAAAAAATTTTTCCAATCAATTTCCATTTGTGACTCATTAATCATCAAAATGGCCTTTTTTAAAATAAATTTAATGAAGATGATTAATTGCTTAGAAAAAACATTTATTTTTAGATAAATTTTTTTCGGTGATTATTGATAGGATTTGAGGATCAGCTGTAGATTTTTTGAATCGATTTACTTTAGATTTACTTTAGCTTGTATAGCTAATTATCATGACAAGCTCATGCGTCTTTCTGTAGATTGTGAAATCTATCAAAACTTATTAAAACTTGTCAAAAATTTCGATCAAAATTTAGCAACTCAGTTTCAATCCTCTTAGAGTTTTAATTACATAATGAAGAAGTTTAATGATAAACTATCAAATTCAGTGCTTAACTTAATTAGCTTTGGGACTAAGAGAGAAAGGGGAAGGCCGAAGAACTAATGGAAAAGGGCTGTTGATAGAGACAGGATTGCATTTGGTATAGGAAATTGACGAGCGTTCTCCAGCGATAGAGCCAGATTTAGGAGACATCTGAGAAAGGCCATGAATCACAATTGATATGTAAGGTCATCGAAAGATGTAAGTAGGAAAGCTATGAGATCATTTTTAATGGCCTTCAGCATTAGGGTGCTCACTATAAACCTTCTGCTGCTCCTACCTCCAGAGTATACACCAGTGGATACTCTAAGGTAGTTTTAGATGTCCCATTTGTGGCTTTAAAGATACCTTTTCCCAGAACTCGAGATTCTCATCGATTTTGAATAGCAGAGTCGACTCCACTCCATACAAAATTTGATCGACTTTAAGTTCTGGTTTTTCCACACTTATTTTATAATCCTGTTTAATATTCTGTTCAAAAATTCCAACAACTTAATCAATGCCAAAGTCGTTAAAAACTTTCATCAGTTCGTTAATAAATTTTCCAATCAATTGCCAATCACAATTGACTGTTCAAGTAGAAACTTTAGCACAAATTGAAAAACTTACTTGATCTGTATTCATGAATAACTTTTAAAAAATCCTCCCCAAACCATTCCTTTTAACTTGTATTACAAATTATCAAATTTTCCTGCTTAGTGATGCAAAGTATTTTCAATTCATGCATCGCTCTTCAAAAAATCATAAATATCTTTAGCATCAAAATGTAATCATCACAAAACTTTCCCATTCAAATCACATCACACAACATAAATTTTTTTGCTACATAGAAACTTGATTTATTACTGATTCAAGACATTAAACTATCGCATTCAGATCTTAAGATGCAATATAAAAGTTATCGAAAAATCTGATTTTCAAGAAAATTCAATTTCTTTCTTTTATTTTTTTTTTTGTAGAGTGAAAACATTTTTTTTTTCTCGTGTTTGCATCTCTATGAATAGAGTTGAAGGGGTTGTTCATAAATGATGTTTGTAAAAAAATCGGTTTATTTCTGTCGAGGCTTTGGTGGACCTTCTGCTAAACTAATTCATCTTTAGGCTAGTTTCATTGGTGTAATAAAGAAGAGAAGTAGCCAGTCAAAACATATTGTGGGGGGGGGGGGGGGGGGGGGAACTTGGGGTAGTTTTCTTCTCAAAACGAAGTTAATTTTCAACCAAAAGTAGTGGAGAAATTCACATTGAGTATCTCCCTAGATAATTCCTTGTCAACACCCTCTTAATCAATGTTTGACATCACTCTTGAATGCTCCCCACCAAGAACTACGCGAAGTTAAAAAATGAAAAGCTATGAAAAAGTTTCTTTGTGTTACTTCTTTTGCCTTTAAAGTGACTAAAACTTTTCAGTATAAAATGTAATTTTCTTTTTTCTCGAAAAACTTTTTTTTTATTTCATTTAAGTATAATCGTCGTAAATGAGTCTGGGATTCTCTTCTTATTTTCTTTTTCAAGATTCAACATGAAAAAAAAGAGTCTCAAGAAAGACAAAACTTTGATGTTTATTTATTTAGTTTTTCAATGTAAACAGTAACACATGTTCGGAGACTCTTATCATTTTGAATTACTAACTTTATAATTAAAAGATGTTAATGGACTTCAACTTTTGACATCAACTTGTAACTTTATAACAAAAAAGATGTTTGTGAAGCTAGAGTTTGTGTGTATGCCTGGAGGTCACAATTAGTTTCGTAGTAAATAGTTGAATGAATTTTTTATGATTAACATGCTTTTTATGTCTATTTTTAATGGGCATTTAAGTTGTTGGTAATTTTTCAATAGACACGTGGGATAGATACTGTTATGTGAGACTGATAGATGTGAGTAAATTGGATATTTCTGGACTATTAAGTTGATAGGTTGATTTAAGGTTTTGCTGCTTTAAGAGTAATTGGATTTAAATGCTGTTGTAAAATTTAAATTAAGTTTAAAGGTCCGTTTACATCATTTAGTAGGGATTATGGATGAAGGGTCATGAAAATGTCAAGACTACTTTAACTTATATGTCAAGATTGCGGAAGTCATATTTACAACTGTCCTTATGATAATTGAGATGATTGCCTCAGTTGAGAATTGAACCCACGTCTTCGTGTAACACTTGTTCTCACTCCCTAATTCTTCAAGTTCTGTGACCAACAATTTCATCTACCATTTCAAAGGAATGTTGCCACAAAATGCCCTAAAACTCACCGCATCAAATAACAACTCATATCCAGAAACATAAACAAGATATGCTGCATTATTTTGGCTACAGTTCAAAGTTCATTTAAAATTGTAATTTCAATTCTGACATTTTACATGCCTTAAAAGTTGTAATGTAACTTGAAATTATTGCCAAAGCACCGCATTCAATTTCAACTCATTCTACTTCAGACTCTACAAAATCCTACATACTCATTGAATCGTAAAATCGTGTCACACTCACACATTCGGTGGAGAGGAAATAACATTTTCAATATTAGTAGAGGACATAATAGTACAAAATACATGAATGAATGTATGTTTTATGTATTTATGTATGTCACTTGAATGGTGGCATAGAAAAAGAAAACTTTTCCAATTCACTTTTTTTTCTTCTTCTATTCAAATTCTTTTTTTTTTTTATCGTTCTGACTCAAAAAACACGAGTCAGACTGAGTAGGAATAAGTTATAGAAGGAAGAAATAAAAAATATGGTGCAAAACTTTTTCAATTTACTGAGTTAATGGGACATCATTTAGTTTAAAAGAGGCAAAAAGAGAAAAAAAAAGGAATCGACATGAATAAATCATACCTGTTTCACTGTTCATTGTATTCCTAGGTCTTGGTGGAGGTCGGGGTGGTAAACGTGGTGGCCTATCATCATCTGTAGTATCATCACCGATTTTTATAGCATTCTCCGTACTATCACTGTAAATATCCAACCTATCCATAGCATTTGAATATTTTATGTCATCCTGATTGCCTTTTACTTCAGTCTCATTATTGAGAGATGATGTCCCTGAGCGCTTTGGGGAGCACAATCGCTGCTGATTATTATCTAAATTGTTTCTGTTTAGAAATGAGGATGGAAAAAAAGATGAAAATTAATTTTAAAAATCAATTTAGAAAGGAAGTGTGCGACAAAATTGAGAATGGCAGCATTTATATATTTTTTAAATTACGTCAGTGCTTTTGATTGTCTTTTTTTATGGGAATGGTAAAATTAAAAGGAATTGAATTTTCAGAATGGGGCATTTTTTGGAATTATGGCGGCTATATTAGCTTAATTTTATTTTATAATCGTAGAATTGGATGAAAAACATTGAATTTGGTAGACTGAAATGTATTTAAGGACTATGATACCTATGAGGCTTCTTATTAGTGTCTTGCATGACTGTTTGAAACCAATAAGGGATTATTTACTTTAAGAATGGGGGGCTGGAGTGTCTTGACATTTGCATTAGGCATCTCAGCATCTGAATTTTGTCTCCATTTTTAATCCAATCCTACTCTGAATCTGTAATAACGAGGCTTCCCTTTAAAGTCGATTTAACGACCATTTATCCCCCACCAGACCCCTCCAATCATTCCATTCCAAAAACTTTTAATTTTGTGCTAAATAAATTTTTATGTCAACGTGCAAAAATCACCATTAAGCTACCCATTTGTGCTCTTTATGTCTATAGCTTCCTTAATGAAAATTATTATGAGACTCTACGGAAAATTGGAAATGCAAATGGGAATCATCAAAAATCAAGCACATTTGTAGAACATTTCCGACTATTGATAAATCATGCTGCAAAACTAAAATCAAATTGCATATCGATAGCTTTAAGCCATAAGCAACATCCATAAAGTGTCATCAATGACTGCAAAAATTTGTCATAAAACACGACATCCTGTGACATGGAAGAAAGGGTTGCATTTTTATGCTTCAACTGGTCGAAAACTAATTGACATAAATTGTTCCACTTCCGTATGTATCTAACCATTAAATTTCCATGACAACTTCAATTTAAAATCAGGAAAATGGCTCTCAAAAAAAAAGAAACCCTTTCAATTAAGCTTGCACATCTCAATTGAATTTAAATTGAAAATTCTCAATAATTAATTCAGAAGCAAATGAAAAAAACTACTCACAAGTGTCTCTTTGATGCACGACAAGTAGAGGTAATCATCCCCGAACTACTCATTCCACTACCATCTTCCGTTCCACTTGGATTATTCTCGTCACATGATATAATTCGTGAGCTTCGTCCACTTTGTAAGCTATGCTGCTCGGACGATTGCCTTTGATGATGATGATGCTGTACATGTCCGGGACATTCACATGACACATTTGGTATGTTTAAAGTTTGTGATGCCATACTTATGTTTGATGTTGGAACATAATGAATCATATTGCTGCATCCACTTTGGCTGCTGTCATTAGTAGGACTAACAGGTTGATTGCATTCACTGTTTGTGGAGCTGTTGTTGTATATTAAATTGCCATCTTGCTGCTGTTGCTGTGACGATGGTGGTTGTTGTTGGTTTGTTTGATGTTGATGGCTTATATAGCTATTTGGATGCATGTGTTGATTCAAGTGGTTAAAATGGTTATGATGATGAGTATATGGTCCATTAGGAACAACATTAGACGACGATGAAAAATTGCTACTATGATGATGATGATGATGCATGCATTCATGTTCACATGGCGATGACGTTGCTTGATGAAATTGCTGATTCTGCTGCTGTTGAACTATTTCAAGACGCGATAAACGATTATTACCGCATCCGAGATATCCTATCGTTTCAATTGTTGATGCATCTGTCGACGTCATTTTCTACTGATATACTTTATTTTTCTTATAGTTGATGCTCTTGCTGTGCCAACGTCAATTTTCAACTTCAATTATCTCAATCAAGATTTCTACTCGTTTCAGCTTTATGCTTTTATTTGCAGTTGAAGTAAAAAAGTCACTCAGAAATAAATTACGAAAGAGTCAATAATCTAAAAAATGCGGTTTCCGGCAGTTGAAAAATCATCGTCATCATCGTCAGCTTCATCTTGTTCTCCTTTTGCGTTTACTCAACGAGACATTTATGGACTTGAATTTTAAAATGATTCAGTAGTCATTTTTTTGTGTGCATGCCTTTTTTTCCACTGTGGTTTATAGAGATCTGCCAAAAATAAAGAAAAATAAAGAATAAATGAGATTGGATGATATGGGGAGCATAAAAAAGTTAATTTAAATATCATTGTTTGTTTGTTTGTTCTTATTCTTTTGGGTTGAGTTTGTCAGAATTTTTTTGGGCTGACTGAAAGTGATTTTTGAAGGCTTTTGATGTCATTTATATTAAATGAACTAGTTCACGCATGTATTTAATGTTGAATTGGTGTATTTAATGCTGACAAGAGCTGCTCTTAGTCAGATAAATCCATTAAAACTTTTTAAATTCAAAATTAGAGACTATAAAGTAAAGCCTGGTATCCTTAGAGCTTCAGAGATATGGCATAAGTCTATTTTGAATTGAAAACACGATTACAAAGAGGTAAGCGATTGATGGGAATTGAACCCATGTCCTCAGAGAAGAGATTATTACAGATTTTTGGTCTGATGCCTAACCATTCAGCCACAAAGGTCTTAGTTTCGTTCTGGCAGATTGCTATATAACTCTAAGATAAGTCAGACCCAATCTAGCTTTAAGAACTTATGTTGTATCAATTTTAGCCGACTTGTGTATCCCTGAACCATTCAATTTCGTAAAAATTAAAATTAAATGTCTCCCAAAATCTCCACAAAGGAACAATCTCATTCCCGGAAAAGGCAATATTTTTGATGCAAATTGGAACAACCAAAAACCAGCACACACATTCACTCTGATTATACCCGAAAGATAATTTCTGAAGATGAAAAAGAATTGAATTATGTCAATGCAAAGTTTCATTCAATTGTAGTAAAAAAATTTTTGGCATCAACTTGCACCCATCTCTCAATTGTGCATGCATAAAAGTTCATGAACATTTTGCACTGTTCCTCATTCTTCTCGACATTAAATGAGCATTACACAAAAAAAAATATCAACAATAGAAGAGACACATTCAGCCTGCATCTGAAGGGGCATTGCATCGCAGAGAGTGAGACAAAGAATGGAGGAGATAACAAAAAAAAATGAAATGTCGAGTGAAAGAACAAAAGGAAAAAAAATATTAAAAGCAGGAAATTGAAAAAATGCAAATTCTCGCTCATTCTTTTTCTCGTACTGTAAAAGTGCACCCGAAATATAAAAAAAATATTGCATGTGGTAAAGCTGTGCTACATTTCTTTCTTCTATTCGAGAGATATTTTTGTGCAGTTATTGCTTTAAAATCTGTTTAACAAGAAGCCTATTCATGAGCAGAATTCTCTTGCGACACGACAGACAGAAGATGTGCTTTATTTCAAATGCAAGCTGAGGATGAGACACATGAAATGGAAGCAGAAAAAAATATATATTTATATAAGAATGCATGGATAGGAATGAGGAAGAGAGTGAAAAAAAGTTTATATTATCGTTTTGGATCACATCCAAAAAATGTCTAAAATTGAATTTTTAGCAGATTATTTGAGGCAATAATTGATTTTTATGGAAAAGATATTTTTTTCGTCTTGTAAAAGACTCGTGACTAGGACAGAATGAGAGAGATTTGCTTCTGCATGTGAAGCTCAAATGAAGTGCTTGCAAGAATTTTGTGAGTGCTTTTTGAGATTTATTCGATTTGGAAGTGCTGTGATTTCTTTTATAACGAGTTCTGGGAATTTGAAATTGGTGGGGATTTTAGTTTTTTTTTAAAAATTTGTAAGGTTTTGAAAAAGAAATTGTATTGTTTTTGAGACACAATTTGTACGATTCTGTAAGAACTTGAAAGGTTTTTTGTGAAAATTTGTATGGTTTTCGATTTGAATTCAAATTTTAACGTTTTTCGACGAAAGTTTTAAATTAACTTTCTTAAAATGTAAAGACAAACAGCACAAAGCACAATTTGAATCGCACATTAATGGAAGCTTCAAGCCATTCGGCAACAAAACCTTAACAAAGAAAAAAAAGTTCTTTTTAAAATTCCTTCGAGCTTCACCATTTTAAGTTCAACATCACCGACCGATAATTACAGTATCCAGAAATGCAGCAAAAATTGTGCATTACTCACAAAAAAAAAATAATAAATTCTACAGACATATCAGCAGAAAGAATTTATCAGTACCGTTAACGATGTGCTAGCAGTAAATGTGATGGATGGAATTGTCTATCATCTTCTTTAAAGTTTCACCGCATTTGATGGATACTCACAGCAGTTTGCAGTTCATCAAATTATTCAATCATCAAATTGATGGGTGAAAGATGAGAGAAGACGAGAAAGAAGCAACAGAAGGAATAAGGTGCCTATAATCATGTAATCAGATTGCCTTCATTTAATGTAAATATTTTATGAGCAAAGCTCTCTGTGCAATCAATCTCTCCTTTATTATCGTATGATTTCTTTCAATTTTTTTTTGTGCTTAGAGTCTGCATTTAATGGAAGGCGATTATTTTCAATTCGTGGTTTTTAAAAATGTAACAGCTTAACAGAAAAAAAAGGTTTAGATAATTTTCGAGTCGGTTGGTGAGAAACATGAAATTTCTCGTTAGAATCAATAAAACTATTTAATTTTCACATCTTTATATGAAGACTGAGCTCTCTCGATACATCAGTCTGAAGCAGGGTTGCGATACAGGCAACTTTGCACAGGTGAGAACCGTACAATTCCTTATAAATTATCAAGGGAATGTACGGTTCTCACCTGTGCACAGGTACCTGTACCGCAACCTTGGTCTGAAGCAAAAGAGCCTTAGCTTAATGTAAGAATAGGGAACTTGGACAAACTAAGTTGATTAAACCAACAACAGAGTCAAATAGCTATTTGTTGTAGAGTAAGCTCTACTAAGGAACAAACTTATTGGACTTAGTGGGGATGCAGCATAACACCGTAAATAGGAGATGGGGTTTAAGAATATAAACTTCTATCTTGTGACTGGATTTTTTTTAAATAAATTGGCTTCGAGTTTAGTACTGCTTACTAAATTCAAGTTATGAAGCTACACCACTGCTCCACAACAGTTTAGCCATAAAATAGCATTTTCTACTCTCACAACGAAGCGAGAAAAAAAAACTTCCAATTTTCATATGTTCATCAGTTCTGCTACATCGTTATCGTTCTGATTGCATCATATGAATTCATCAGCAATATCTTTTCATTTCAATCTATCGCACTCATTCATTCATATCGAATTCTTCATTCCACTTCTCTTCCTTCGTTCATTATTATTATGTTTATTTTTTTTTGCACCGTTCATTGTTCGATAAGATTCGTCTTCCTTACGACAAAGGAAAAAAAAAAGATTTGAAGCTTCTTTTGATGATGTGTAATCGAGAAAAAATTGCACACAGCAAAAAAAGATGAGATAAAAGAAAAGAAAATGAAGAGACAAAAGGACGAGAACAAAATGAACTCATCATGCCATTGTTCACCGTTTGTTCGATATTCGCTAACAACATAAGCACACACATACACACACACAAAAGTCCATAATGCCATGTAATATAGTTATCGATATTTATCTGTCGATTCATGTTGATGAAGGTCTAGTAAGTCTGACATGGTAATAAAACTCAAACAATTTCCACTTGATGATCCGCATCACATGTGAAGCTTTCTTAGGTAAGAAGGGGATGTTGATTTAGGAATATAACGGAACTGAGAGAAATTTCAATGTTTTTAAAGCTTTCTTTGTTTAGGGTACAATTGAAAGGAAATTATTGAAAAACAAAATTCAAAGTTTATTGCAGAAGAAGCTTGAAATTTGAAGATGAAGTAAAATAGGAACTAAAGTGAATCCGAAGAAGAATTTGTTTGAGCACGTTTAAGGAAATTGAGTGGATTTTGAATACTTTTTTTGAGGATTCTTGTTGATATTTAAAGATTAGATTTTTTATATTTAGAGTTTCAAATCATGGTTGCGATACAGGCACCTGTACACAGGTGAGAACCATACAATTCCTTGATAATTTATAAGGTTTTTTCTTTCAAAACCATACAAATTCTAATAAAACCTCACAAATTATCAAACAATTGTATGTTTCTCACCTGTGCACAGGTGCCTGTATCGCAACCTTGTTTTGAAGCATGTGCTTTAGAACTGAATTTCAAATTGGAGGTGTCAATGCTTTCCCCCCTTCTCCATCTGAAACTTAAAAATTAAGATTATATGTCAAACCATTAAAAACTCATAGGTTAAAGAGCTTTACCAGCTATAAAGTTTACAAATCAATTGTTCGGTTGCATCAACTTATTCACTAGACTAGAAAGAAAACCCTTAAAGATAAACTTTGAATAAATTTGTGCAACAGAATCAAAAATTTGTCTTTTGGTTCCGCTCATCATCACACGACATCTGTCTGGATGTTTAAAAAAAAACATAATAACAGAAAAATCTTTTGCCACAAGAAATCACAACCAAGTTGAACGAAAAACATGAGCTAGTCATTTCACATTAAAGTGGAGTGGAGGAGAAGTAAAAAAGACACAAAAATCTGTTGATGATGAAGACAAAAAAGACAGTAAAGAATGAAACAAAAAAAAAACTTTATCGTATCGAATGTTGAAGATGATGATGAAAAAAAAACTATAGAGTCGAAGTATAATATTGATCGAACATTACATTATTATTAACTTTCCCTTCCGTCGCTTTATGAGAACTTACTTCTTTTTTTGTGTATGTCAGAACAATATTTTCCTTTGTTTGAACTACTTTGTCAAATAATAAGGAATGAGACACAAGACAGATAATATTGAGGAGTAAGATTGCCGGAAGTGGACCGACCTATCCACTTGAGATGAATATTTATTTGATTTCAAGGGTCACCTCACATCTTTTGTCTCCCTTTTTTATTACATTTTATTCTGTGCTTCTTCACTGGCCGGCTGGAAAATTAAACTTTTCCTATACGTTCGAGAATTTCTGTGCAGTAACGAAGGCTCAGTTATCTTGACTTACTTAACAGTCTGTCCGTCGAGAAATGAATTTAATTGACATACATAAAAATGGGCTATATAGTCAATATAGATGCCATGGCACGTCCATGATTGGCAATTACAGAGATG